AACACTGTGACTAAATATGAAAATTTCTTAAATGTGGAATTTCTGTTGGATGGGCTAGACTACAGATAACAAACTAAAATTTAATTCACTAAAACTTGTGTGTTTTCCTGAAGGTCAATCTAGCTTTCTTTCTGATGACCCTCTGCATTTTGAAAAGCAAACTCTCTTCACTCAACAGTGATGTGTCCACCCTCAAGAATACAAGGTAAAATGGAGAAGAGGGTGACAACCCCACAGACATGTGTGGTACCAAGAGCAAATCCATGTGCCTCAGCAGCCCTGATATCCTTTCTCAGGGTCTTCAGAGGGAACTCAGAGTAAAGAGATGCAGCTGTCCTCTAATGGCAGCCAGCTTGGATTCAGTGGTGGGCTGCTGACTTCCCAGCCACAATGTTCTGTGTCTAATCTCCTTGTAACTCCCTCAGCAAAAGGAATAATTGACATTTGTTGATAAACATTCTTTGGACTTTTGTCAGCAGTCCTACAACAAATGTACAAAGAAACTGTGTGCCCTTAAAAATCTATAACTCCTCCCACAACCCAGTCTACACTTTCATACTCACTCTCAGTTCAGGCTCCCTCTCACCCCTCTCCAGTATCCTTTCTAAATTTTGCATGTCATTATTCCGCTGTATTAGTCATTGGAATAGCCTGTGACCTTTATGAAAATAAAAATCTTGCCTCTGTTACTTTTAATGCCCAGGCCCAGCACTTCCTAATACATAGTACAGACTCAGCAATGTTGGCTGAATAAAATTAAGCATCACCATGAAGCATTACAGATTTTTTTTTGAAACTTACATTATGAAACTTACATAATTCAATTTAATCCAAATGCCATCCTGGACCCAAGTAGCATTTCTATTGTGGAGAATCATTGACAGTAAAGGTCAAAGCTGATACAATGCAGTCTAAGAACTCATCACCCATAGGGCAAGGCAGGAGCATTCATGGGGTAGAGATGAGAACAGTATTGATTCTGTTGTTCTGGGTGCATATGGGCCTCTCTTCTCCTCCTCTCCAGGATGCTGACATTTAAAGCGATAGCTCAGCTCTTCATCTTGGGCTGCACGTGGTGTCTGGGAATCCTGCAGGTGGGTCCAGCTGCTCACGCCATGGCCTATCTCTTCACCATCATCAACAGCCTGCAGGGCGTCTTCATCTTCCTGGTGTACTGTCTCCTCAGCCAGCAGGTACCACTGTCCACCTTCCACCCAGGACTCTTTCCACTCTCATTCCACTCAGTGAGGTGACTCAGAGCATGCTTTGCCTCTGCAGGTCCGGGAGCAATACAAGAAATGGTGGAAAGGAGTCAGGAAAACCAAAGCTGACTCTGAGAAGTACACACTCTCCAGCAGAGCCATGTCAGATGTCCCTAAACACAGTGTGGTAAGGTCATGCATTGCTCCCAGAGCACTTCACTGATAGAGTACCTCATGCCAACACACTGGACAACCTGGGTATATAGTAAGTGACGTCCTAGGAAGGCTCCCACTGAATTTACTCTTTGATTCCTTAACCATTAGCCTTGGTCTCAGTTAGAAAATATATATGTTGCTCTTATTTCAGAGGAACTGTGTTCATCTTGACTTTTACACATTAGTAATCTTTTTTTAAAATAAAATTATCCTTAGTTGTATTTAAAATATATAACATCTTTTTAGGCTTACAAATATGAACCTTTGTACATTAAACCATACATATATGTACATATTTCTCCTTTCTCTGATTGATATTATTTTAAAGTATCATATGCCTTAAATTTCATTTTCTTTAATTCTTTATTGTTTAAAGTATTACATGAGTCTCCTTCCCCACCCCCCATTGACTTCTATCTGCCACCCCCTCACCCAAGCACAAGCCCTCACCCCCTACTGTCTATGTCCATTGGTTTTACAAAAATGCGTGAGTACAAATCCTTTGGTTGATCTCTTACTGCCTCACGCCTGCCTTCCCTCATAGGTTGGACAGTCTGTTCGATGCTTCTATATCTCTGGTTCTTTTTTTTTTTTTCATCAGTTTATGTTGTTCATTATATCCCACAAATGAGTGAGATCATGTGATATTTCTCTTTCTCTGACTGGCTTATTTTGCTTAGCATAATGCTCTCTAGTTCCATCCATGCTGTTGCAATGATACGAATTCTTTCTTTTTTACAGCAGCGTAAAATTTCATTGTGTAGATGTACCACAGTTTTCTAATCCACTTGTCTGCTGATGGGCACTTAGGCTGTTTCCTAATATTAGCTATTATAAATTGTGCTGCTATGAACATAGGAGTGCATATATTCTTTCTGATTGGTGTTTCTGTTTTCTTGGGAAACATTCCCAGAAATGGGATTACTGGGTCAAATGGAAGTTTCATTTTTAATTTTTTGAGGAAACTCCATACTGTTCTCCATAGTGGCTGCACCAGTCTGTATTCTCCCCAGCCACT